AGTTTTTCTATCACTTTTTAATCAAAACAATAAGAATAAAGGTACATCTTAAGTAATAATCCCCATGCCCATGTTATTTGCATGATATTCCATCTTAATTTTTCTGATCTTATTATCAGTTCATTATTCAAAGTAACTTTTTTTCTCTTTCCTCAGGTTGAATGACTTGTAGTTAAAAGTATTTTTAATGGTTTTAGAAACTTCCTTAGATAAATTCTATAAATTACAGTCCAATGTTTCAAAGTAACACTTAGGAATAAAACTCTTCTGAACACTGGCAGATAGGGCTCTAGGAAATAGGGATCAGTGTAGCCAGGCAACGATTTCAGAATCATCACATGGTCACGCAGTAAGGTGAATATGAAAAATGCACGCTGAGGTTCTATAGAACCTCTCTGGAGGGGATGTCTTAATATTAGCATTACAAAAATGTCTCCAGCTCCCCAATCTTAAATACATAATTTGTGAATAATATTATGGGTTTGCAGCAGCAGTGAAGTATGATATATTGTTAATGCTTTTTGCAAATGTTAGAGTGGATATCTGTGAAGACTCTATTGTCTCTGATGGCTTTCATATGGCGCAGTCCAGAAAACACTTCAATCCCCTGCTAAACTGGAGATTTTACTGTTCTGCAGATCACTAGAATTTTTATTACATCTAAATAATAATAGCCAATTCTAGGACCAATTCATAGCAATAGAGTTTGTAATTTTAGAATTTTCTCTATGAATCTGGCTTGTACTCCCTGGAATCTAAGCTTTCATTTTGGGGGGGAAAGAAAGATAAGTTAACTTTTTGTAGCTCTCTTGAATAGACAGACAGTCCTAACACGATTTAAATACCGTGCTAGAAAGCCAAGCATATCAGGTTCCAATTAACATTCTCAATCCAAACTCATCTCAATTTTTCTTGGGTTGAAGGAGATTGGGCTATACTGAAGGGTTGTACTTATAAAGCGATTATGAAATTTTCCCCTGTCATTCAGTTTGGTATGATATCTCTGGGTAATTTCAGATGTTGCTGCTGTAGCAACAGCCTACTTAGTGCTTGTCACATACGGGATCATTCAGAAATTGTGAGGGAGGAGTCATGATTTATAATGTGCTACAAATTGCTCTCAGCACTAGACTACAAATTCAAATATGATAGTTGATACCAATCTGCAATGTATTTCGGAGTAATCCCAATTGCTTATGAAAATCCCTTGATGGTTTGGGGATACATTTTGTCTACCAAACAGTCACTCTGACTGCATTGAGAATTCAGACACAATTTTTAAAATGCAGAAGGGATTTCAGGGCAAATTAGATTTTTCAAACCCCAAGTGTTCCAAATAGAGGCATTGCTTTAAGCACCAAGACCCTGTAAGACTCTGCAGATAGGGGTCTCTGAGAAAAAACTTCATTCCTGGTAAATATGACTGGGGTGGTCAGTGGAGCACAACTTTAAATCATCTATGCATGTTAGGTATTTTCCTACATGAAAAGAGAATGGTGCATTTCTCATCATTTCCTTTCACATCTTTATTACACAAGAGCAGCTAGTGTTGCTCTCTCTCTCTCTCTCACACACACACACACGCACAAATAAATCCATTGGCAACTATATAAGTGCCAGCATGGAAACCAGTGCGCAAAGTGGCTACTGAATCAATAGAGTTATAACCTAGTTTGATTACTTGATTAGAATCCAACACATCTATAATGCATTACTTGCTTAGAATTTGATAATAAAATCATCATAAACTAACGTCAAGTTCAAGTGCCTGTATCTAACTTGAGGAGAAAGAAGCAGACAGGAGAAAGAACTAGACTAATCAGTACACTGCTACCAGCAGGGAAAGGGGGCATTCTTAATGGGCTTGCCCTGAGCTCACGTCAGCTGAAAGCAATAGCCAGCAAGAAGGCAAGGACAGTTGGAAAAAAAGGAGGCAGGTTGTTTTTGTGGCAATGAACATTATCCTTGCCCATTGAAAGGCCTGAGAAAATTGCTTAACACCAGTCCCTAGATCAAGGATAGGCTAGGACAGGGAGATGTGTTCTCCATCATGTTATAGATAGGGAGAAGGCCCATAGACAAGTCTCATGTTAGAAGTTAAAGCCTTGTATTAGTTTGTTAGGGCTTCCACAAGGTACCATAGACTTTGAACCCCAAAGACTGGGTACCTCAAAAAAATGAAATTGATTTTCTCACAATTCTAGAGGCAGGAAATGCCAGATCAAGGTGTTAGCAGTGTTGGTTTCTTCTGAGGCTTCTTTCTTTGACCTGCTTATGGCCACCTTCTTCTCCATGTCTGCCCATGAGCTTCCCTTTGTGTGTGGCCATTTAGTAAAATCCTCTTCTTATATGAACATCAGTATACTGAATCAGGGCAACCTTAATGACCTCATCCTAACTCACTAACCTCTTGAAAGAACCTACCTCCAAATACAGTCACATTCTGAGGTACCGGGAGTTAGAACTTCAAGGTATAAATTTGGGAGAGGACACAATTCAGCCCATAACAAGCCTAGATGTTGACATTCCTTATGTTTCATCTCTACTAAGTTTTCTCTTTTCTTATGCTTTTGCCACATTAGCCAAATGCCTTTTGACAAACTGGGTCCTCCCTGCTTGATATAGTAAGAACACGTTAAAGAAGCCAATCAATGGTTCTAAAATAGGCCTTCTAGTTTTATTTATGCAGTTACCAACTATCTTGTGCTATAAACTTCAGAGGTTTGTGTTACAGTTCACAGTTAGCCATGTGACTTGCTTTGGCCAATAAAATGTAACGAAAGTGAAGTGTGCCACTTGTGAGTAGAAGCATTGACAGCCATTGTGTGGTTCCACCATGTTCTCATTTCCTCTGGCCATTTATGCCCTAAATTTCCCCAGATTATTTCAGCAGATATTTGAGCAAAATCAGCCTTTGTTGTTGTAAGCCACCAAGATTTTTGGAGTGGTTACCATAGCATGGTTGAGCTGAAGCTGGGTGATACATCTTACATTCTTACCCCTGCCCCTGAGTCTCCTGTTCATCTGTATTGTTGAACAATTCATCAGCTACTAGAAACCCCACTAGCATGACCCATATAGATCCATCTGCCCACCCTGGGAAGTGTCATAGTTCTCATTGCTTAAATAAAACTCTGATTCCTTTTTTTCCTTAATCAGCAATCAGAAAAAGCAATTTGACCATATAGGAAGGTGTGCAGAAACCTCTTCTGCTCATGTTGGTGTGTAACTTTTCTAAAGAAACCTCTGACTTTTTTTATTTCGTAGGTTTTTGGGGAACAGGTGATGTCTGGTTACATGGATAAGTTCTTTAGTGGTGATTTCTGAGATTTAGGTGCACTCATCACCTGAGCAGAGTACAAGGCACCCAATGTGTAGTCTTTTATCCATCACCCCTCCTACTCTTTTTCCTGAGTCCCCAAATTCCATTGTATGATTCTTATGCCTTTTTGTCCTCACAGTTCAGCTCCTACTTATCAGTGAGAACATACGAGGTTTGGGAACCTATGATTTAAAGAGGGATGTATTAATCCAAAGAAAAGACTCCCTAATAATAGGATTTCACAAAAGTTTTCTCAGGAACAGGAAGGAGATTCCAGCATCTGTAACACTACTTTATGTACTTATAAATACCCCTCCCTGCCACAGTTAGAAAAAATAATCAACATGTATATTCTAGTGATCATATTCAAGACACAATTTGAATTATATATACCTGTAACTACTTACCATGTGCAGACACTGTGCAAGACTCTTGCATACATGATTCCACATAATCTCCTTAATGGCTCTATGCAACAGGATGACTTTCCCCATACTGCAGATAAGTAAATAACTCTCTGGTTCATATACCTGGAGAGGAACAGATCCCTGTTCACAACAATGACATGGTGCTATAAAACAATACATCTTTTAATCTCAGCATCTCAGGGAAAATAAAGCATTATTGTGGATTTTTAAGTTTTTTCCATCTTACTTTATAATCTATACTTTAAATTTTTAATGATATTTATGTAAAGGGGAGTAAATGGAGACAGGTATTTCCCATAAGAATGTCTTAGTAAATTCAAAATCCAAAGTTTATCTCTTCTGCTTCAAATACTTAGAAATAATAGATGAGAAAGAAAGCATTACAACAGAAAAAAGAAAATAACAAACCAGAAAGATGTATTCAAGAAGAAGGTTCTTTAGAGAACCTTCTTGAAAGTTTCAAGAAGAACCTTTAAGTTGCTTTGAACCTCCTTTCTGGTAGGTTCAAAGCAACTCAAAGGTCCTTATGGATCAATGACACAGAAACCCAGAGCAATAATGGGGCATTGGGGGAGATGCTAAACCACAGCCTATCAGATTCTGGTGGTCATTAAGCTTGCTCCAACAAGGTAATGGGGACTAAAAGTGTTCCATGCCAGACAGATATCTAGAGCTAGGCTCACTGCTTGAAGCCAGAGGCTGGAGGGTGTCTCTCCACTGTCCTAAAAGGAGATCATTTGTTAACACTACTGCATGAGGACTGTGGCTTCAGTTGTTAAAAAGCCAGGAGTCTAGCAAAGTGGAAGGAACCAAGTGGCCTTCTGTTTCGAATACTATCAGAAACACTGTATGATGATAAAAACTTGTTCTTAACCAGAGTGCAGGGGTTTGAGTGAAAGCAACAGTATAATTTCTCGGTAGAAAGAAGTGGGTACAAAGGGAGAGAGCAAAGGAAAAAACAATCTCCTCACTTGAGTTCATAAACCCAAATCCCAAAACACACAAAAAGAGAATGTTCACAGAGAGCCAAACATGTTAATTAATTAGTTAAATAAACTCACTTCAAATGAGATCCATGCCATAAAACAGTCTAGCAAAGACTTTAAAATATGTGGTTAGGATCATCAAAAATATAAATGAGCAACAGCATCTAGAAACACATAATAACAAATAAAAACAAGATACTTATAAAAATAATTACAAGTCTTAGAATTTTTAAAATATAGAGAAATAGAAAAAATTAAGGGAATAAATTCTAGACTGGACTGAAGTGATTTAGTAAACTTGAGCAGTTTGATATGTATTCAATGGGAGGTCCAGCAAAAGATCATTGAAAAAATTATGGCTGAGAATATCCCAGAGATGAAAGAAGCCATACATCCTTAGACTAAATGTGTGTGCTTCAAGTTCTGAGCAGGATAAGGAAGAATAAATCCACATCCAGTTTGAAAAAAAATCTAAAAGCTGCCAAAAATGACAGATTACCTACAAAATAATAGCAATTAAGTTGGCAACAACACTTTCATTAGCAAAAAATACAGGCCAAAAAGCAATAGAATAATATTTTCCAAGTGCTCAGGTAAGGAAATAGTAAATCTCATATTTTATACACAGCTAAACATTTAATTAAGAGTCAGGGAAAAATAAAGGCTTTTTTACATGTATAAAAATAAAAGAGTTTACCACTCACAGATGCTAATTAAAAGATTTATTAAAGAATATGTTCAGCGTGAAGGAAAGGGAAGCCAGACTGAAGATAAATGTGGATGACTTGCCCAGCTCCACCATATCCACTGCCCCCAGCCATAGGATGATTCTATTTTCCTATCCCCCTTGAAGTCATGCTTGGCCATATGACTTGCTTTGGCCAAGGAAATGTGAGTGAACATGATGGATAATTCTCTCGCATGGAAGCTTTAAGAGCCAGCGTGCCCTCTCCCCTCTGCCTCTGCTGATGCCGGCTGCTCCTTCAGGTGGCCTTTGGAATGCAGGAGTTGAATCCTAGCCAGCCTGGAGTGTAAACAAGAAATTAAACTGTATTGTTTCAGCCCTGCTTTTAAAGTTGTTACCACAGTATTATGACTAGGAAAGACAATTATGCAAAATTGGAGAGATTACAGAAATTGATAAAATATACTGGGAAATTAATTTAAAATCAATTAGAAAAATACTAATTTTTAATGAACTTCCAAATCTCTGGGCAACGATAGCACAGAATATGTTCAAAGGAGAATGTAAAAATACTCTGGAAGAAATACTGAATAACTTTAAGCTTTGTTTAAAAATGTATAAGATAAAGGTCGGGCACGGTGGCTCACACCTATAATCCCAGCACTTTGGGAGGCCAAGGCAGGCGGATCACTGGAGGTCAGGAATTCAAGACTGTCCTGGTCAACATGGCAAAACCCCGTCTCTACTACAAATATAAAAATTAGCCATGCGTGGTGGTGGGTGCCTGTAATCCCAGGTACTCGGGAGGCTGAGGCAGGAGACTCACTTGAACCCGGGCGTGGTGAGCCAAGATCGTACCACTGCACTCCAGCCTGGGAGACAGAGTGAAATTCCATCTCAAAAAATTAATTAATTAAAAATGTATAAATAAGTATATGTGTTTAAAATTTAAGGTACTCACCAGCAAAACAGAAAAACAATCTAAAGCTTTCAAACCATAAAGTAGGGAAAGGGGGATACTGACAACTCACCCAATTCATGTGAAATTAGGACAAAGAGAGAAGAGGGGGAGAAGAATTGTCATGAACAGAAATCAAAAAAGAATATGGCAGAAATTACAATAAAATGAAAGGAGAAAATTAAAATGTTAAAATATTTTAATTTTTAATAAAATACATATTAAAAACACCAATCAAACTGGATCAAGCAGAATCTAATCACATTGAATTTTTTTAAATTCACCTATTTGCTGCACTGTGAAAACCATACCTAACACAAAGTCACACAAAAAGATATGGGAAAGAACACCAGAGAAATTGTTTCCAGCTGAATTGCACTCTCCCCAGAATTCATGTGTTGAAGTACCACCCCAGTACTATTTGGTGATGGGGTCTCTGAAGAGGTAATTCAGTGAAAATGAGGTCACTCAGTGGGCCCTAATCCAATATGACTGATGTCCTTATAAAAAGAGAAAATTAGGACACAGAGACACACAAAGGGAAGACCATATGAAGACACAGGGAGAGGACAGACATCTGAAAGCCAAGGAGTGGCCTCGGGAGAAACCAACCCCGATGACTCAGACCCCAGAACTGTGAGAAAATGAATTTCTGTTGTCTAAGTCATCCATTCTGTGGTACTTTCCTCTGACATTCCCAGCAAACTAATACATTCATCAAAAAAAAATGCTAGTGGCAATATGAATATCAGATGAAACAGAATTAAAATAAAAAAGAATTAATAGTATGACAATGAGACATCAACCCAGCCATGCAAAAGGACCAGTCCACTAAGACACAAAGCCCTTCCCTTTTCAACCCTCTCCAGCCAATTAGATCCTACCCCTCCAAAAAAATCACTACTTCACATTATCAGAAACTAATAGTCGGTTTCCAGTCTTCATCTAACACAGCCTTTTGCAGCATTCGGCAGAGTGGATGATACCCTCCTTCTAGAAAGTCTTTCTTCACTTTTCTCCTCGACACAATACTCTCCTCACCTTCCTCTCACTGGCTGCTCTGCCTTTCCCAGCCTTAAATACTAGCTAGAGGTGCCAGGCGCAGGCTTCTTACTCAACAGAGTACATTGTAAATGCATAAGGCAGGAAACTAAATGCAACAAAAGACACTTACCAAATAGAAACGAATAGGAAGCATCAATAAAATAAAAGCTGGTCTTTGGAAAAACAAGATCTCAAGTAATATGAACAAATAAAAAGGACATCCCTACACACAGAGGAGGATAAAATCATTAGAAGTACTTTACATAACTTCGTGACAATTACTAGATAATTTTGCATAAAAATAAATTTATCAACATTGAAGAAATAGAAAACCTAACTAAATTAATAAACTACACATTGAAAAAAGCTAGCAGCCAAATCTCTTCCACTCCCGGTTTTCTCCTCAAAATAAGTGGCATAGTTTTACAGATGAGGCTTAACAAACCTTTAAGAAACCCATAATCCCCATCTTAAAAGCTATTTAATAAAAGAGAGAGTGGGAAGACAAGCCAGACACCCAAAAAGAACAAAGACAATAGAAGAAAAGGTAGAAAAACAAAACAAAGCAAAACCATATAAAAAAAATGATACATTCGGTTCATTAAAATTAAAAGCTTTCCTGCATCAAAAGATAGCATAAGCAAAACAAAAAATTTATCCCAGAAAAATAACTTCTCAGAGAAGTTATTTGCATATACAGTCTATATAAAACAAAGGAATGTGTGAAAAACTTATAAAATCAGAAACAAAGGAGAAATTAATGCAACAAATGGACAAAGCATATACCCAAGCAATTCACAAAACTGTAACAGACAATAAGCTTATAAAGAAATGTTCAATCTCATTAGTAATCAAAGAAATGCAAAGTGAACCAACAATGAGATGCCAGTTTATTCCCAACATACTGGCAAATCTAAAAGCTTCATAATACCTCTTGAGGAGAAGAATACTGAGAAAGGCCAAGCTCTCATATACTGTTGGTGAACCTATAAACTGGTCGCACAACTTTGGAGCTCAATATGGCAATAATAAGTAAGAATAGCATGCTTGGGGCTGGGAGTGGTGGCTCACGCCTGTAATCCCAGCACTTTGGGAGGCTGAGGCGGGTGGATAACGAGGTCAAGAGATCGAGACAGACCATCCTGGTCAACATGGTGAAACCCCGCCTCTACTAAAAATACAAAAAATTAGCTGGGCATGGTGGCGCGCGCCTGTAATCCCAGCTACTCAGGAGGCTGAGGCAGGAGAATTGCCTGAACCCAGGAGGCAGAGGTTGCAACGAGCCAAGATCGCGCCATTGCACTCCAGCCTGGGCAACAAGAGTGAAACTCCATCTCAAAAAAAAAAAAGAATAGCATGCTTAACACCCTAAAAAGTCCAATTCCTGGTATATAATTCAGATAAATTCTCCGGCACATGTGACATGCTCAAGAATGATTATTGCAGCAATTTTTGTTGTAGCAGAGGAAAAAAATCAGAGACAACTTAAATGTTCATTAAGCGCAAATTGGCTAAATAAATTGTAGTATATTAATACAAAGGACTTTATACAGGAATCAAAATAAATGAATTAGAACTTCAATTATCAACATGGATAAATATCAAAAATATTAGGTTAAGCGGAAAAAAAAAAGGCCAGTTATTGAATATATATATTATCAATGGGAGACTGAAAACATACAAAACAACACAATTTAATGTTCATATGTAGTATATATGTAGTGATTCTATGAGCATGAAAACATGCATAAGAATTACAATGTTAGCACTCAAGAGAGTGCTAACATCTGGAGAAGAGATTGTTATGTTATAAAGGAGGTGTAATTCACAGCGGGCTTTAACTATGTTGATGGATGAATGGATAGATGATTGATGGATGGATGGATGGATGGATGGATAGATAGAATTTTTATTGCCTTAAGAAAAGATCCAAAGCAAGTAAGTTTGCTTTGTTAACATTTGTTAAAGTTCCATGGTATATAAGTGGGTGTTTGTTACATTCCTTATTCTCAATGATTTTTTTCCTGTATGTTTCGAGTAGTTCATAATAAACAATAAAAACAAGGCAAGAAGCAGGAATATAGCAAAACGAAGGACTAAAAGAAGAGAGGATGGGGGAGCCAATCAGGTTAGAATTATCTGGAAAACGGGGGAAAGGAAACAAATACGAGAAGGCAAAACAAAAGGACCTGCCAAACAGACAACGAAGGTGAGCAGAAAATGGACAAAAGCCGCCGCTGGCTAACATCTGAGGGAATGAAGGCATGCCAATACCATGTCATCCCCTCTTCCACTTCTCATTCCACTAACTCAACGGCTCCCCAGGAGACGGGGCTGGTGGCAAGAGAATCCAGGGTTGCATTGATCCCACAAATATCACCTCTGCTCCCATCGCTCCCAGCAGCTGGATCTCCATTAGTGCGGAGCGCAGGGGGCTGGGGAGAGTAAGCTTTATTTACCTGTCTCCACTTAGGCACAGTCTTGTCTGTGATTCCTGAAATCTAATGATGAGAAAGGCATGTTAGCACTCCTAAGACTGCTTTTCCCTGCCATGGTAAATCACTCCCTCAGCAACGTCAACTTTAGGAAACTATTAACCATTTAATTCTAGGAGTAAATCCATTTCTGCTTTCAGGAAAAATTGATGGGTATTTTGATGATACGATATAAAGTGGAACTTACCATCTTTAGTCCCAAACATTCCTCGTCTCTGCCTGTCCCTCTCCCCACTCAATGACGCCATCTTGGCCTCTCCTTCCTTACCTTCCATCTTCTGTAGTTATCACGTCCTCTTTCCTGGGTCTCTACAAACTGCCTGCACAGTTCATCTCCCTGCCTAAGCCTGCCCCTCTTAAAGACAGTCCCCATTCCACCATATGATAAAGGTTGTTATAGCCCAGCTCTGATCTTCTTATTCTTTCCACGGGAAACACAAATGCTGCACCAATGTGTGAACGCAGAGCTCCAAATCTCTACTCCAGGATTGAAAGGAAGCCTGCTACGATCTGCTCCCTCCTCTCCTGCGGCTGTTCTGCTCAGCTCATGCAATCATTATGCACCCACGCTGTGCCCACCAAATGGTCATCCTTAAACATTTTCTACCTGCCATTTTCCACCTCTGAACATTTCCTTAGAAAGTTCCCTCTACTTTCTCTTTCCCCATCTCCACCTAGGGAATTCCAATCTAGCCTTCAGGAACCAGTTCGAATGCGGTACACCCCACAGCAGCTTCTCTAAAGCAAGCTCTACCCACCTCAGAACTGACATGCGCAGCTGGCTACTCTGTTAAAGAGGTATTTTTTCTAATTCATTCCTATGTTCCAGTCATATCTAGCACAGCACCTTACACACAACAGGTACTCAACAGTACTCCAATGAAGGCATGTAAACATGCATTTATATATGGAATACCTATAACAATGTGCATTTTATAGCAGATTTGATAACTTTAGTCCAAACTTTTGTTACCTAGTAGTCCCTCAATATGTAATTGTGAGAATTAGTGGATGGCTGAGTAAATGAAGGGATGATTTTCCTATCCTCACCTTGTAATTGAATGAGATGCCATAGGTCACCGTACATCATTGTTGGTTGCTCTATGTTCTTTCCTCAAGATCCTGAGGAACACAATTCTAAGTTCTGAATGTAACAGATAAACATTAATTTAATTTAATATGGTTCTAAAGGGAAAACACAAATACAGGAACCTGCCTACATCATATAAATGCATTTCACTTTACATTGCAACAGACGACACTAATAATTTGATATTCTTCTACTTTTCATTGTTTACTGAACCCTCTGTTTGAGTTGATTCCTTTGCCTTTATTGAGAATAAGCTATTGAGAGCAGCCCCTGATGAATACTAGCGGCTCTCTTGATTATTTTTTTAAACAGCACTCAATCACCTTTCTTAGCACTAATAGCATCTTTCTCTACAAATGACTGCCACAGGTGATTGGGTCACACTTTCTTGAAATATTCTATCTTTCATTTATAATTTTTAAATTAACCCAATTATTTCTAACATGAGTACCTTGAACACCAAAAGAAAAATGTATTGTTATGTTACTCAATTCATTGTTGAAAGGAGTTGGGAACGTTTGTGGGAATGGAAATTGATTATGAAAGCAACACATCCTCTGCACCCTTTACAACACCTCCTCCGAAAGAAGCCATCACTATGCCAGGACTACTAGGGCCACCAGCACCCTCTTCTGAACATCTAACTGAGAAATGACCCTGTGCAAATGGAACCCAATTTTTTGCAATGTCAATCAACTGATATCACTTCCAATGTATTATTTTCACTCACACAGCATTAAAAATATATATGCACTAAACCTTCAGTCAGCTTGAAAAAGCAAAGCTAACAAAATTTCACCTATTTCAGTAAGAGTGAGTCAATTTAGGGGCCTTTGTTGTGTCTAGAGGCAAGATTTTTCTCTTGGGTTATCTCAATACCATGAGTGTCAATCAAAGAGCTACACTCTAAAGACCAAGAGAATATCAGATGAGATCCATCACCAGGCTGAATTTTTGCCTGTATTTGTAAATGATTTCCTCAGCTGGGTCATCAATCACAAAGTCATCTGCATGGAGAGGGTACTTCATTATTGTTCTATGGGGCTCCAATTAAGTGGGACATGACAAACAGTTATCACGTTGACAGCTCATCAAAGTATCAGCAATTACCACAACCCGTGGCTGCGAGAGGAGTGTGGGCCTCTCTGCTTCCCGCTTAGGTGAAGGCTGACTGGAATGAAGCATTTCCTTCCAGTAGCCTTCTGAGCATCCGGCTTCTCACAGAGAAAGAGTCCCCTCATAAAATGCTCGCAGGTCTCCAATTCAACGTCTCATGTACAATCATGAGTTTGTGTCAATTTTAAATTCCTACATACATGCAGAGTGACACTAATGCATGCAAAAATGCACTCTCCGAGCAAAAATAAAGGATAATTATATGCTTTTCTTCATTCCTAGAACTCCCAAGAAAACTTAAGTATTGCATCAGATTTTAGGTCCAAGCTCTGAAACGTAACCAAGTTTCAGTAAAGTATTTTGTATACTTGATTTGTATATTTTCATATTTACACAAAAGTGTTTAGTCTCTACCATACTGAAGGAGTTGTACCACTACATAGGAATGATAGGTGCTTTTAGCTCTTGAGGGAGAGCAGCATAGTGGCATTTAAGCTGCCTTTGATTGACTAAGGTGATTTGATTTTCTCTAATAACTCACAAGAGCTGTTAGGAAAATTGGATGGTATTTATAATTCTAATTTGTTGTACTCCGCGACTCTAGGAAACAACATTGTGGTAAATATATTGAAATGTCAGGGTTATCACTTGCCACACAAAGTTTATTTTATTTTTCCCCCACTGAACAAATGCCAGCAGCTTAGCCTGCTGAGCCCGAGCTTATGTGAACCAGCGATCCAGGCAGCCTTTGGCAGTTCCGAATGGCCATTTGGCCCGCCCAAGCTTACACTGCGTAGATTCCCCGGGACGGTCTCCAACTTCAGGGTAGTCAGAGACTTTTCAATGCTGCTGGGGCCCCCATATCCTCCCGCAGCAGCAGGCTGCCTCCTAAGAAGCTGGCTCCTCTAGCTGTTCCAAGAGGGAAACTTGAATACTGTTTTGGCAGCTTTGCAGCTCCATCTACTCTCTACCCATGGCTAAAGAAACTTTTTTAAAGTGCTAGAAGCAACGCTTTGGAATCTTCATCCAGAATGACTTTGAGGAAAGCTGTCCTGAAAGCTGGGACCGACTCCTTTGGCGAGCTCTGCTGCGGAGCCAGATGCCATTTTTCAGCATGGCAAGTTCATATGAGGAACACAGCTCCAAGGACAATGCCCAAGGAAGGACAGCTCAGAGGCACCAACGATTTCTTCATCAACACAGCTTCAGTCCTGTAGGTCCAAATCCATCTTCCGGGGAACACAGGGATCAGTTTCAGGAATCGTAATCTGCCCTTCTCCTTTATTTTCTCCATTCATTAGTAAATCTGACCAGATGACACAATTACAGTATGCCTTTTTAAAACTGCATTATCATTGGCTTTGTTAGAGACTCATTTTTCATGCCTGTGAGATGCTCATGTTCCAAATAAAGAAAGGAGGGGTGATGAAAAGTGTCTGGTCAATCAGCTAAGACAGGCAGGCAAGACAGAGTTCCAGGATGCTTGCTCTCATCAACCAGAGTTCAGCTCAGTTTCTAGGTCTGAACAAAATAAAGCTTTTAGGATCATCCTGGCTTGAGCTCAGATGCATGGTAAGGAATGCATTTAAAAAATTAATTTGTTTCATTTTGTTTTTGATTTGTAGGGCTTGCTCATTTCGATTTTATCTTATTTAATAATTATGTAAAGCATATACCTACTTCAAAAGTCAGTCCTACCAAACACTGGTCCTGTCTTCTCTGTCCTTACACTGCGTAGATTCCCCGGGACGGTCTCCAACTTCAGGGTAGTCAGAGACTTTTCAATGCTGCTGGGGCCCCCATATCCTCCCACAGCAGCAGGCTGCCTCCTAAGAAGCTGGCTCCTCTAGCCGTTCCAAGAGGGAAACTTGAATACTGTTTTGGCAGCTTTGCAGCTCCATCTACTCTCTACCCATGGCTAAAGGGTAACCATTAGCCTTCTAGGGGTAACCATTTTTATTACTTCCATTTACGTCCATGATTTAAGTATAAGCAAATAGATTTATATATTCCTATTCCACATCTTTCTTAGATATGAGATACCTTATTGCATAGTGTTCTGCACTCTGCTATTTCCATTTACCCAGGACACCACTCCTGAGCAGTCTATATAGATATTCCACATTTCTTTTTACAGCTGCAAAGTACTCCTGGAGTGCTACATGTCATTGCTATCATTGTGCCACAGCTTATTCATTTAAATCCTTGTTGACAAACAGTAGGGGTTTTTTTGTCTTTTGAAATTACAAATAGTGCTCCAATAAATAGGCATGCATAAATGTGCTTTTGTATTTTTGCCAATTTATCTTTGCGATGGGTTCCTAGAAAAGGGATTGGTAGTCAGTGGATAATTATATACACACTTATCAACCCCCTTTCTAGGCTTGCTAGTCAATAGATAAATGTATATGTAATTCAACTGGCTATTGCCTAGTTCCTTCCATTAGGTTTATGCCAGTTTTCCCTAGCACCAGCAATGTAGGAGAGTGCCTGTTTCCTCTGAGACTCACCAAGAGAGAATACTTTCGAAATTTTTAGATTTTTGGCAGTGTGATGTCAATCTCCAAGGTTCTGGTCATCAGAACCAGCTCCATATTTCATGTAGGAAAACAATTTGTTTTTTCTGAGTACTAACCTCAGAAAGTCACTCGGTGATTTTACTATTACCAGCTGTGACTCCCTTTCATCAGAAGAGTGCCTTTTCTCTAGGAATGAATGGAAATAAAAGCCCTTCCTATGATTCAGATGACCAAAAGAATCATGTGGTCACACAGGAGCCATTAGCAAGGCTTTCTACTCATTCAACAAAGATTTACTGAGTATCTCCCATGAACCTACTAAGTGCTACTAAAGTGCTTCTGGAATAAGGTATGGGGCTGAAGCGTGGTAAAGGTCTAGAAAAACTGTCTACTATGTCAAGATACAAGCTATACCCTAATAGGTTCCAAACAACCCAAGGCAATTGTGATATTCAGTCCTCGACTAACCAGCTGTGAACAGCAACATGATGCTATTTGCCCAACTCTGGCATTTTGTGCTAACCGATCAACAAGGAAAATGAAGAAATTTTATGTGTGAGAGGCAGATGAAAGAAAAAGAGAGAACAAAAGCCAGATAAATAAATATGAGACTTTCTTTCTACTGGGTAGAAGGCTGATTCAACTCTAGTGCCATTAGCACTCAGCAACAAGTTGTACATTGAAAATTATCAGTAAATGTTTATGGAATGTAGAGATTATAATTTAAAAATATCTGTGTACTAGAGAAGAAATATCTAAACTTTCTTTCTCTAAATCATATGACATAAAGACCGTTGCTGATTGTAACCTTCCAGTTTGGAAAGATCTCTTCCCATTCATCAGATTCTGAAATAATAATAACGGACCTTTGTTGAGTGGCTCCTTTCTGCCAGGGACACTTCTAAGCCCCTTACTTTGTTAACTTAATCAATGCTCTAAACAACCTGCTTTGCATGTTTTGGTGCAATTATTACTCCATTTTACAGATGGGGAAAGTGAGGCACAAAAAGGTTAAGTAACTTATCTACAGTTCAGTTTTTAGGAGTTCTGAGTGTCAGGATATAGAATTAACACTCTTGAATTCACTTGTAAACTGAGGCCTGCAGCAAAAGAATTAATCCGGGAATTTAGAGTTGCTATACATAGACTGACCTTCCTATTCCTAAGTGAAACTGTCACACCATGGCCAAGTCCATCATCCACCCCTTGCTGCACCTGTGGGTAGTTGACCCACCTCCTGGCCATTCTCGGTGGGTGTCATTCTGAGGCTCCATCTCTGCCTTGAGGCTTTTGCTCCAAATGAGTTGATCCTTAATTTGATCATCTATGCATGCAATTGGCCTATTCACTTCCCAGAAGCCTAGGCCTGGAATGTATAGTCCAAAATTCTTTACTGTATATTAATAGAAAGTACCTTACTCAGCCTTCAGCTGTTTATATCACTGTGCAATGGTTTTCCAGGATCCAGCTGTCATCAGTCTTCCCCATATGCCATCTGAAGAGAGATGAGCTGCAAGGTTCTATTGCCAGGCCTCCTGTCTTGCAATTTGATATCAATTACAGCATTTAGATAATGCTGGTAAAAATGATGAAGAAGCTTGATGTGACATCTATGGCTGAACTACCATTCTCCAATTTTTTAACAGCTTGATCTGAAATTGAGATCATATAAGGGCCACATCCTCTTAGCCATTCCAGAAAAATGTTGAGCTTCTTAATGCTATTTTATGTTACTTTTTTTTCTGTCGATGAA